GGCGTGAAGCTAAGGGCTGGGGCTCACATCAGGTCAGGTGGGTGCGTGAGGCATGCAGCTGAGGGCTGGGACTCACATCAGGTCACGTGTGTGTGCAAGAAGAACTCATGCATCCCTAGTGTCTCTTTCTTTGTTATCTTTATAATGTTCCCATTTTGTGATGTAATTTTGATGGAATTAAAATCAAACATTTCCAAGGACATAAATCATATTTGCCATCAACTATGATCATCGCCTGACCCAAGTATTGGGTATATGGGCCTCCATCTCACCACTTTACTCATGGCAGATGGCTGGGCCATGTGGACTCCCAGGTGCTCGTGTGTGAGCTAACAGGTGAAAGTGCTTATGAGAATACCACAGGTGGCAGGACTATGCCCTTCAATTTACATGCTTATATTACACTGAAGCTTGTTGGAGAAGAGTAAGGGAACCAGAAATCAAGTTCTGGGAAGAAAATAAATAAAAGACCAAGAAACAAAAATCCCTGAAGGAAAGTCACGTTTTAGAAACTGAGATATGTGTTAAAAGTTGTTTTCATTTAGAAAATTACATTTTGAAGAAAAGTACCTAAATAGCCAGAAAGAGTGCCCCAATATACACATTCTCCATGGATGGGTGGTGAAGACTAATGCTACAGATGCTTTGATGATAGACTCTTATTTCATTACTGCTGCATGGCTTTACATGTTACTAAAACATGGCTAATTTGTAAATGCACCTACACCAGTCAAGCAGTGGTTGTGCATGGACCAGGTCAGTTACCACTCAGAATAACATTTGAATTCAGCACAGAATGCATATCAGAGTGATTCAAGATGGAATCACCTGCCACCCTTAGAATGAACCCAGAACACTAAAGACAATCTAATTCATTTGGAAAATAAAAATGTAACCACTGTCTCTTACATCTGTTGCTACAATTCTATCTGCAGTGAAACTTACACTTGTATCAAGTTTGTGGAGTATTATTACTGTCATTACTTTTATAATTACCTATATAAAAAATTCTAGACCATAACATATTCGTTCATTTTGAAATTCTTCTTCTTTTTCATACCATAGAAACTGATTTTAGTAGGTTTTATGACAAAGAAGTATATGACGATTCAAAAAATATTATCTCAAGAGTAGAAATAAATAGAAATCAAACAATGCAGGGGGATAATGGAAAAGGTTAACTGTGATTATTGCTGAAATTGTTTTTTCTTCGTGATTTACTGCATTTTGCACATTTTCTGAAATGAAGATGCCTAAGTTTTGTCATTGAAAACACAGACGTCATTAATTTTTAAAGAGGCTGGAGTAAGACAAGATATGAATGTCAATACATTTAAAATAACACAAAAGATAATGTGCACCTTGGAAATGGTAGATGTATGGATCCTTTCAGAAATTGCATGAATTCAGATCCAAGTACCTTCTGGTGCTACAGAACCACAGATCGCCTAAAGAGAGGCTTTTCTTTTGCAGCACAATGAACTTCCTTTATCAAAGAGTACAAAGAATCTTTAACTGAATTCAATTTCAGAAACATAAAGTATCACTGGTATAAAGTGAAATCATCCAATAAACGGCTTCACAATGCCTAGCTCTACCTAGGAAAAAATAAAAAGAGTATCACCCTATTTTTCCATAGCTCATATTTTTAAACCATTACTGATTTCTGAAATATACACCTGTTATCTAAACTTCTCTTGCGAGGTCAAGCCTTCCCAAACAGGAACCTGAGGGCTGGGTTATTTTTAAAGTTTTATAACTGGCTCACACTCCCTCTCAAACTTTCTGAGCCTAATCCTACCAAATTTCCTAGATTGAAATTCCTGTTCTGCAAATGCAAATGTACATGAACGCCACGGAGACCCTGAGAGCCTCCCTAACACTGCATACTTCCTGGGTACCTGTTAACGTGACACTCACTTGTCATGGATTATTTCAATTAATCCTCACAACAGCTGAAAGGGGTAAAAAATACTACATAGACTTTAAAGATGAGAAAATTAGACTCTGAAACTGGCTCAGGGTCACTCAGCTAAGCAGACCTAGTCCACCCCTTTTTTTTTCTGTCATTTATCTATCAAGTGTCTACAATGTATCAAATACTGTTCTAAAATAGAAAAATATAGCCCATGTACCTAGGGTCATTAGATGTTTGGGACATACTTATGATAAAAAAAAATTATATTGTTTATCTAAAATTCAAATTTAACTGAGTGTCCTGGATTTTATTTGCTAAGTCTGACAATCCACATGTTCCTGGCTACCACACCATACTGCATGCTAGCTTGACTCAGAGGCTGGTCCAATCCCTCCCAGCATGTCTGGGCTGGGACTGAGGTCAGATGAGATGGATGGAGACCTCCAGAAACACTGGGATGGAGACCACCAGAGATGCTGGGAAGGAGACTTCCGGAAACACTGTTATGGAGACTGACAAAGATGGTGGGATGGAGACCTCAAGGGACCCTGGGACAGAGGCCACCAGAGATGCTGAAATGGAGACCTCCAGGGACCCTGGGATGGAGACCTGAAGGGATATCATAGGATGAAGACCTGAACGGACACTCTGGGAGGGAGACCTCCAGAAATACTGTAATAGAGACCCTCGGGGATGCCAGGATGGAGACCTCCAGGAACAAGTGCCCCTTGGCAACATTTCCCAGCTGCTGTCTCCGGCCAGGACAGGAACATAAGGCATCTCTTCACGATCCTCACTTTGCTCTGGGTTTCTTGCATCCCTTGAGAGAATCTGGTGTACCTAACCAAAAGGTAACCACCTGCAGAGCATGAGGTGCTAGCCTGTTCACACAACAATGAAGACCTCCAGAGATGATGGACAGTCTTTTGATTCATGCTCCTGGAAAAACCTTTTCCAAAATTCCGTAGAGATGAATGAGAGATGTGAGACCCAGCAACACATCTGCACCTGCCCCTCCCCCCCTTGGCTCAGGGTGAAAGCTCCTTTCCCTAAGAGGGAGCTTTGCTGCACAGAGCCTGCCACTCCTCAAGCCCTTGCCCAGATGTTGGGTATCTAAAACAAGTCTGCTACAATCTAAACCCCTTTCCCCTAAATGTCCACCCAGGTGCAGAGGGACACATGTATAAATCGAATCCTGGAAATAACTATTTAATAAACAGATATCTTTAAGCTTCTATGAGGAAGAAGAAACTGTGCTACATTCTACAGAAATAAGAAAAAGACAGGCACCTCCCCTACCACCTGGTAAGTCACTGTCTGGTAAGGGGGTGACATCTGTCAAGAAATAATGCAGTCCCCTACAACAAGTGCAGTGAGGAGAGCAGGTGCCAGGTGTGCTAACGGGACCACACAGGGCAGGGAAGGTGGCAGCTCAGGATCAACGGAGCATCCTTGAGCTACGTCCTTACTATGAGTAGGAGTTCATCGAGCAGAAAATGTGGGATGGGGTGGATGGGAGCCAGTATTCCAGAAAAAGAGAAAAAGCTTACAAAATCCCAGAGGCAAGAGAGAGCATATTCTATCATTGTGGGCAACATAAATAATTATGTGTGTTATGGACTCTGAGAATGACAGAAAGGTGAGTCTGTGAGGGATGGGGGACCACAAGGCAGAGGGGCCACTGGGCCACACGAGAGATCCTGAATTTACCCAGTAGGGGCTATTGAGGGCAGGCAATTTAAAAAGGTGAAGACAGCCGTGGTAGGCAGAGGAAGGAGACTATCTGGAGGCCAGGACACCAGTTTAACCCCTGTAATCCACAGCCCACACTCTGAGTGTGGGAGTCTGACACCAGCCAGCACCGAAACGCCCCAGTATTCCCAATGACCTAAAGTACAGAAAAGTGCACCAAGTGACCATCCACACCTGCTGACTCCTCCCAAACATCCAAGGAAGAGCAGGTGACTCGTTTGGTGGCATGAACTATGCCAAATCGGTCTATTCCTTTAAAGTTATAACCATACATCATAACATCTTCAAGTTCTGGGGGAGGCACTAGGGCTCCTTAAGATCTGAGAGCAAAAGCAATGATTCTAGAAACCGTTCAACGTTCATCTGGAGTACCCAGAGCAAAAGCTCGATGTAGCTTCACTCAGGTCTGTGTGGGAACCACACAACCTCTAGAGCTACAAAAGGTGTGTTTTATAATCTGGTAACTTTGACTGGAAAAGATATGGGTGCTCCACCTCGCAACATGCCCTCCTTAGAAGCCAGAAGGATCCCAATCTACAAATGGCCTCTTTCTTCAAGTTCAACGTCAACTTTCCTAAGAGATGGAAATAACATATTTTATTTGTATATATATATATATCATCCTCAAAGTACACTGACAGGACAGGTCATTTGAAGGCAGGAGCTTTGCATGTTTTCTAAGGAAATGTAAGAAATATGAGGGATATGACTCAAAATCTGCTCTGTGTTCAAGCGGCTTCATCATCACACTGGCATGCAGGTGTTGACCTGGATGGAGAAACACGCGCACCTTCAAGAGACAGAGATGAGAATGCTAACTTCTTTGAACTCTCAACTTGCTGGTATGTGGCCTAATCAAGATTACAGTGAAAGTTAATGATGGGCCTTGAAATGCACATCAAGATCTCTTGATCTCTAGAATTCATGGTTTCTGGAGTTAAACTGCCTGGGTGTGAAACCGGGTCCATCTTTAACAGACATATGCCCCTGAACAATGTGTTATCCACTTTCTGCCTAAGTTTTCTCATCTCCAAAATAGACATGTTGACAGTACGTACCTCTGAGGTTGGATTGGAGGATTAAATGAGTTAATTCATGGGAGAACCTCCGTAGCACCCAGTGAGGGCCCAATCAACACTTGCTAGAAAGACAGGCAGTCATCCTATTATGGGTAGTAAACCTTAGAAGGATATTCATACTACATTTCATCCTTAGAAGAAATAATATTATTCAGAACCCTTCAACTTTGGCAGAAAAGCCCACACGTAACCGCACAGATATAAAATGAATTTAGAAAATATCTGTAGTGGCAAAACATAATATCTCTCACCTTGCTCCTACAATAAGTTCTTTCTGTCCTGGGTCAAATGTTAACTGCGAGAAATCCACAGCATTCTTCGCTCTGAACTCCCGTAACCAGGGGCCAATTTCTAAATAGGAAAAAAAATAAATAAATAAATAGACAAAAATGAATGATTTTTCCTCCAGGGACCACAAAGAGTGCACATCAGGTAGCAAACATAACATTTCAGAGAGGATTTGGAGGTCCCCGATGCAATCACTCAGGATGCCACATAATCCACACTGAGCATGTGTAAAACACAGAGGGCAGCAACCCAGTAAAGAGCTAGTGAGGCACCAGGGCTGGGCTGTGATTTACAAGCCAGATGTGCATTTTCCTTTTGGCTCTGGGCTGGACAGAAAATAACACAGCATTCACATGATTCATAAGAGGCATGCTGAATGCAAACAGGACCATTTCCTGTGCAACTTGACTGGAAAGAGCTGAAGACTTTGGAAAAATCACAAAAGCCCTCCTCAGGAGCAAGGACAAAGCCCAGGAGCACCATTTGCCGTCTTTCAAATTAGACATTCCACTTCCCTGTCCTTCGGGTTCTATTTTGTCCTCCTGATTAGACGTGTTAAACACATTCAGTCCTTTCTAGATAAGAAATCCACAGTTACCTCTAGGCCTCATTTGCATTTTTCTTCTAAAGGAAATCAGGAAACAGCCACTCTACAGAGACAGGATTTTACAAGCACTGTTAACTCCGATTAGACGGCCTCCAGCCCAGAGTTGGATTGTTCTCAAGTGACAGTATTTGAGGAGGGGTCCGAGGCTGTTTCATGAGCCACTTTCGCAACTTTCATTAGCTCATTTCTAGCACCAAAAAAATATTTAGTGCGTTGCCTGCCAGTTGTGGGGTAACTTATTGTTATCCTTGACAATTAACTGTGTCATTTGATTGTCTTTTTTTCTTGGACTTAGTATTTTGAATGCTATCACAATGATTAAGCAGGCACATGACAACTGTCAAATCAATAAAGTTATTGGTTTGAGGATAAAATGTGAGGCACGAGAGACAATCTCTTTCAACAAACACTTCAGCTAAAAACAGATCTAATAAGGAAACATGCCCATGTCCTGTAGAAACAGCTTTGTTCATATGAATGAGATGGATTCATTTTAAAGAATAGCTCTGTATAATAAATGTGTCTTTGCTCTACTATCAGTTGTTGGGGAAAAAATGGTTATCAAAGATATTTTCTGCTTAAGCAAAACCAGAGCTGAGCTAGAGAGAGAGACCTGTATTTGGTTTTTAATTTTTTAATGTATCTATCTTAATTTTTTTTAGTATTTTATATAAATTTCTTCATTATATAGGCAAGTCAATTAAGATATTTATAGCAAAATATGTACGAGGCACTGGAGCTATAAAAAGTTATTAATAAACAAACTTTCTAGGAGTTTATAATTCAGTTAGGGAAACAGCACCAATACCTTCTTTAAACACAGTATAAATACAAGGTGTTTATAGGTGTTTGTAGAGTTATAGGAATAATTCATGCATAGAAAGGACAGATGATGAGGAGCTTGGGTAAAAGAGAAGGCGAGATTTGACCAGAGACTTACAGGATACATGTCCTTAAGGGACAAAGCCAAGAGAGCAGCCTGGGGACCACAGTGACTCCTCTGGCCATAAGTGGAATAACGCACGTTCACTGCATCAATTTCTCCCTTCCTGCTAGGACAGAAGCCTAAGGCTCCCGTGACTGTGTTGCCCACTGCGGTAACACAGAGCACAGCACCTTTATGATAAATGTGTGATATGAAAAGAGTAAGAATGAGTTAGTGAATTCAAGAGAGGGGGAATTAAAAAGAAAGGGAAGGAGAAAAAAAGTAACAGCAACTTAAGAACTACTAGGAAAAAAAACTGAAAGGTGTATTTAAACATAAACTGTAAAAAAATTCACTTATGGATTAAAAAGTTAGGACTCGATCTCATATGTGATAGCAACACTTGGAAACATTTTCCAGCAAGAACTTGACTTCATTGATATTTGCTTCATAGGAATATGAGGCAAGAATACTTGATTTTCTTTTTTAAAAAAAGCTAAAAACCATAGAATGTAGATGGTGGCTATGAAAATGGAAAAGGAAGATGTGATGGGCCGGATCATTGATTGGAGATAAAGTCAAGAGGAACAAGTTAAAGAGAATAAAGCATTTACAGACTAAATGAAGAGGAGGACCGTGATGGCTATGACACAGAGGTCAGGGGGAAAGTGTGCAACTATGAGAATGTTACCCATGAAAAATTTCCAATGGCAAGCAGGCCCCAGAGCCATTGTAAGCATCAAAAGACCTATAAGTGTCCATAAAGATGTTCTAAGTCAAGAGCTTCACTATTCAGATGGGAAACCCATGGCCAGGAAGCCCTGCCAGGACGCCTGAGTGTACATCTAGACTCCGTTCACCACGACGCACAGCCCCAGAGTGGGCTCACTTGGAATGTGGTAGGAAAGAATGGAGGTCCAAGGGTTGACCATCTGGTAGTGGAGTGGGAAGATGAGCCACATAAGGGGAGAGAAGACTGTAAAAAGTTATCAAAAGAAAATCAGCTCGCTCACTTCCCATGTATTCATCTTTCCTTTTAGTTAGAAGACTTGGAAAAGAGTGACCAACAGGTACCAGGATGAAGAGACAAATTTCAGGTTTGGGTTCCTATACTGAACAACAGGTAGGCAGTAATGGTACTTCCTCAAATACCCTCAAATAATAAGAGCCTTGCACAGAGGTAAGAATGAGTTAACAGTGTATAGTTCTGTCAATATTGTTTGATTTTCCTTATTTATGAGCTTCCCCAATAAAATCATATATTTTTATGGTTAACATTAGATCGAAGCTGGGCAATCTGCATATTCTCTTCTTTTTCATTTTTCCACAGCATTCCTCCAGAAGGTCGGCCTGTTTCAACTTTGCATATTACATGGCCTTCTATCTTCCTGTATAGCATGAGGGCTTTGGGAGAAAATTTCTGCACCAACCCATCTCTCTCACTGAAAATATGCCTGCATCAATACCTACCCTCCTGACTTTCAGTGTACGTCACAGTAGTGGCACTCTGTCCTCTTTTCAAAGACCAGTCCCTTCAATTTTGCTTCAATCCTATCTCTTCTATCTTCTTAATCACTTTCCTAAATTACCTCTTTTTTTCCTCTAATATCTCCAGTTTACCAAGTCCCTTCCCCTCTGCCTATACATATATGTATATCCCCCCATTTTTAAGAACATTTTTAAAATATATTTTTATTGCATGCATTTGTTATTACAGTTTCAACACTCAAGCAAAATGCACACTAAAGTCCCAAGTATAGTATGTCAGAAAAAGGTAACAGGCTCGGTTTCACATATAAGTTTTACCAAATCCTTAAGAAACACATAACTCCAACTTCACAAAAGTTATTTCAGACATAGAGGTAAAACTTCCTAACTCAGTTTGAGGCTATTACGATCTTGATCATCTTGCTCCCAAGGCTGGAGAAAGACATTATGAGAATGGAAACTCACAGGCTAACCTCACTTAAGAACATGGCTGAAAACATTCCTAAAGAAATGCATGTGCTAACAAATCTCTCTCACACCTGCCCCGCCACACAGTTTCATATGGGACAGGGCTTATCACAGAAAACACAAGGATGGTTCAACAAGCTTAACGTTAGAAGCCACATCAGTACAATTCACAGTCACAAGAACAAATTTCAATTGTGGCATTAAGAAACTGTTGACACTGCTTTCTCAGGAATCAGAAAGTGAAGAGTTAGGGAAACAGAAGAGCTAGGAAAGTTCAGGGTCAAGTAAGGAAGGGAAGGAAGGAGTCTACACAGGGACAGTTGGTGGCAAATAAACTGGCCAGATGCCAAAGAAAGTCAGGGAGGGTTGAGGAGAGCAGGAGAGGACCCACAGCACGTGGCAAGCTGAGGTGACAGAGGCACTTTTCTATCACATTAATATGCTCATTACCTCTCTCCACCTCTCCCTTTCCTCTGATGTTGCTGAAACAACCATATGACAAAATGGAATTTAAATACGGCAACCAACGTGACCACTGTTTGGAAGTTAATAACATAAAACCTATAAATTCCAATTGAACACTTTGTAGATAATCTATAATAATTGATGTTAACCACCCTAGATAAGTCAATCTTAACACAAACATGATTGTTGAAATATGGTCTTCACAATGATTTCCTGTTGCAAAATGAGGTGCATTGATTCATATTTGCCTTTTCTTACTACTACATAAGCTCCCAAGTGATTTTGTCAATATTTTTATCAAAAGGGTAAGGAATCCAGCTTCGACAAATAATTACTTTTACGAACATGGGTTAATATTAATAGGTTGAGTGCAAAGTCATTGGCAAATATAAACTAGAGACTGGCTAAACAGATTCAAGTTAGTGACCCCTCTGAAATTTAAAAAAAAAA